TAGAGCACACAAAGGAGCATAACATATATTAATTTCGTGATTGTAAGTCACAGAGAACTCAGAAAAAAAACATGTTTTTTTTTTATTTTTATTTTTTTAATGTCATTTTTTATTCTAAAAATTATAAAAAAATATATGTGATATACTCTGTAATGTAACCTAATACCTCGCGTTAGTTTCACTTCTTTATCTTAATTAGCTTCAGAGATATATCACATTCAGTAATAGTCAAGCATAGGGATATGTTGCTCTCTATCTCAAGGTCAAAGCGGAAGTCGGTCGCGAAAAGTACATAAATCGTGTTTGAACATCAAGTCTATATTAAAACATAAGTTTCAATATCGATTCCCATTTGGGGGCCGACTCGTCATACGTATCCGGCTAAACCCTTTGGCTTAATGTCAACTTGTAAGAGGTATCAATTACCTACCCTGAACAAAAATGTTAAATAATTGATATTTTTCATATTAATAACGTCACTTTGCAGTTGCAACCAAAAGTAATAATGGTAAAGATTGATTTTGTTTGATTATATCACCAGCCCTTTTACGTCCCCACTGCAGGGGCTGATGGTTAAGGAGGATGGGCCACGATCCTCCACGCTGGCCCAATGCGGATTGGAGGGCGTTTGTTTGATTAGTTCGCACAAAATTTTAGGCTCGCCGCTAAAAGTCTCGTAAATTGCTTATAATACCCGCGTGACATCATTTGAAAATAGAAAGTATAGATAGCACAATATGCAAGAGATAAATTATTAATGAATTATTGTAATATTTATGAATAATCTTTAAAATATGTTATAATAATTTAATAACTTTAAGTTATTTATTTCTTTTTGCTTGAATTTTGGAAGAGGTCAATTTATATGTTAATATTTAGGAATATGTAAAATAAAAAAATGAAATTCTAACATTTACTTTGTAATAACGCGATAACAAACGGAAAGGACATTTTTTAAAACACTGCCAAAAGTAATAATGAAATGAGAGACAAATTTTTTTTTGTGAAAATTGGTTTAATTATTTTAAGAATCATAATAGCAGTTGTTATTTTAGTCAAACTTAACAAAGGCAAAAAACTTAATAATATCAATCGAAAACAACAAAAACGCAACAAAAATTGTGTATGATTTCAACACAACTCGACTCAATAAGTGTACTCGTCAACCAGTGTTAATTTGTTAGCGGTACTGAGTGGTAAGTAAGTTTTACGGTAACGCGTTCACTAGTGAGCGCGTTAAGAATTTGTATGGAGATTTGTAGTTCTTAGTAGTTACCGCTAAGGGCGCTGTACCGGATTCCATACTAATATCTTAACGCGCTCACGATCGACAGTGAACGTAAACTCTGATTCTGACGTCAGCTCTGATTTTTGAACACAATTACGTTACCAAAATGGCGGCTAGGAGCATTAGCAATTAGCGAAGTTTAAATTAAAAAAAAGAATTGGATTCGTTATATATCTAAACTTATATACCTATAGATAATCTATGCAGCCAAAATATTCGAAGCCTTTTAATAATCTCTGTTCCTTTTATAAATAATATCTAATGTAGGTACTGCTAAGATCGGCCATAAATTAATTAAAGGTATTCCCATATCAAACGACATCATAGTTTTAAGAAATATCATGTAGATAGCTTCTTTTGTGATGCGGCGACGCAACGTTACTTGTTGTTTCTGTGTTAATTAAATTGTATATGCCTAAAGTGTTAACGGTAAAATAAAGGTTCTAAAATGAAATTTCTCTTTTATTTCTTTCTGTTTGCTTCTAAGTAGTATTCTAGAAAAATCTATGGAAAACAAACAAGATCGATATCCACACCATAAATACACCGCCTTATTTTGGCAGACTAAAGTTAGTAGTGAATAGAACGTCAGACTATACTTTGTCTAGAATTAAAAATAAACAGAAAATTACTTTTGAATTTCGCATCTGTCATTTTTATATTGTTTTTTTCTTATTATCGTGCCAATAAATCATAAAATATTTTGTGATATTAAAATGGAGTGGATTACAGAGCCAAACACAATTTTCAAAATCCTCCATACGCTTGGTATTATTTGTCAAACGTTTGTGTAGCAGGCTTCTGATGAAATCTCCCCTGTTTCTGATATAAAAAGATCTGGCCGTCCACGTGGTGTTAGCACGAAAAAGACGATCAATGTCTTCGTTTAATAGTAAGACAGTAAGACGGACAATGTTGTTCAACTCCTAGATACTTCGCTTTCGTCTAGGCATTAATCATTCATCACCATCATTCGCAAATCCATTTTCGAATAAGAAAGTTCCATTTTGACCGGTTTCAATAAAAAAAACTATTACAGGCCCTAGTTTCTACCGTCTATTTGTTCGTCGTAACTGTCAGTAGTTCATTTATTTGTGCAAATACATTTATTAGGGCTTTTAAATTTTCGCCTTTGTATCACAAACATGTCAAATTTATGGGAGTAAATTAACAGTGACCATGCTGTGATTTACGGGTAACAGAGGCTAAAAGTATATGGGTACATTTTACTTCATAACACACGGAACCCTAAAAAGGAATAGGAATATTAAAATTCTATTTATTTCATGATAATGATTTCTTTATTCAACTATCTAATTGCTTTAACGAAAAAAAGCCAGTCTTACGGTATAAAAATAAATTCTGTTCTGCTTATTAATTGTTGTATGATAGGACTCAATATTGTACTAAATTCACTTTATTGTTTAAATCGTTCTGATTAGGATAGCCAACTACACACAGTGCCACACGCACTTATAATAATGTGAGTAGGCCCCCACCATTTACCTACCCGACGAGCAAAAAGAAATGGTGTGAACCTTTTTTATTATCATAGAAATATGAATATGCATAAACAAAAAATATAAAAGTTATCAGATATAATAATTGGAAATCTATGGTAGAACCTAAAACTTTGATACTATACTTAAAAAATAATTAGCATAATCATTAGTCTCAGATGTTGGATTCCTACAAGATAATATCAATCTAATAATAATAATTACTGAATATAATAATAATTTACAACTGTACAGTATTACCATTTTTATAGCATCGTCGAAAGTTAGGGCACGCAAAAGAGAGCAAGATATTACGAATACGAGTACAAAACTTTCAAAATAGACTTTAATACCTTACGTTAAGGTCCCATTCCTAGTACAACTTGCGTCATGTTGCAATAGCACGAACACGGTTCACGTTCATATGCGGATCGTTACAATAGGATTGCTTATCGTGCTTTTAAAAAATGAAAATTCCGAGTTCGTACATACAGCAGCACGACACGCTATCACAATTTGTGAAATTACCGCGCAATTTGAGCGCACCAGATACTAAAAGTGTGCAGTATTGTAAAACGAGGACTTTAATACCAGGTTTAAGCTATTATGCAACCAAAATAAGTCGACATATCTTGTTTTGAGGTTTACTCTTCTATCTTTGTCATCTTACTTTAGTCGCTAATTGACTTAAACAGAGTACTAGTAAATGTTCGTTTTATAATAAGCCGGGTTTTGAATGAATTCAATTGAAGTAGAGTCAATCTATTATAGTAGTTATTTATCGCAATTAGTTCACTAATTCCTTTATCAATTGAAGGAATATAAAGCTAACAGCATGCTTATACTCGAACGCAATAACGGTCGATCGCCGTTGCAATTGTGCCGTTTCGTGCTCTTGATTGGATACACTAGCGCCAGAGTATGCTGTGTAGTGTAGCCAATCAAAAGTGCGGAGCGGCATAATTGCAATGTCGATCGGTCGCATTTGCGTTCGAGACTAAGCATGCAGATTGATGTATTAATAGTACTTGCGGTGAGACAGTCGTTCAAGTGAACGAGAAAAAGTGATAAAATAAGCCTTAAGTCACTTTTAAAGTAGTTTTAAAAAATAATTAGTGAGAACTACCGTACGGATCCCATTGAACTAAATACGCGTTATTAAGTAAAATGGAGAATGTGAACTGTTTTGTATAATTTGTTATTTCTAAATTGGTATCTTATCTCACAAACATGGTATTTAACTTTTTTTCTGTTCAAAAATCTTTCAGGTGAATAAGTTGGCTATCCTAATCGTCATTCAACACCTTATATTTTCAATTGAATTCAGAATTCACTCACTAAAATTGTAAGCAAGTGCATAGTACTTACAATACCATATCAAGTTATTATTAAAGGCTAAAGTTCTACAACCAACTGTGAATTTATCTGTGAACAAATTAAGGATTAACATAATTTGGAAAAAATATAACCTTACGTAATAATCTGACATGGCGTCGACTGTACAAAAGCATCTAGTATAATTTATAATGCGTAACTTTTTCTAATAAAATAGAGAATACAACACACGCTCATTAAGATTACATTTAACTGACATAATCTTATTGCTGTTTCTTTTCTATATATAAGGAAGGACAGAGACAGTTACAGTAGTGTTTTAAGAAATAATTGTCATTTGCTAGATTAATACCTATAACATGCATACACAAAATCATCATACTATATTAGTATTATAGTCGCTGTTAATTTGTTACAAGTTAAACTAATATGACATGGTTTTATTTGCATATGTTTATTTAATTTAGTGTTTTCAATTAAATAAATGTTTAATTTTCTTATAACTGTTGTCATTACCTATGAATAATATTATTGATCCCTCCTTCCTTCTAAATATTAATTGATTGATTAAATAATTTGAACACAGAACATAACAAGTAACCTAATGAAAACTGCAACTTATATGAATTTATAATTAACTTAAAAGTATTTGAATACTTAGATTTTATTTAAAGCCTAAATTACACATAAAGTAAATTTGATGTCTAAAGTAACATACACAGAAGAAGAAAACTAACTTAAATATTTTTTGAGTAAACTGATTAATTTCAATACTCAATAAACTGATTTTGAAATCAGTAATTATTGCTTTAGTATCAATAGCAGTCAGATGACAAACTAATATTACCCAAAATAAAAGTGAAAGCTAGAAGCAAACACTACATTTGAATGTTTTCCGAGCCACCTTGATCAGTTTCAGCTTTCTTCATTTTTTTAGCTCGTATATCTGCCATTGTTTGTTCAATTGAGCGCTGATCCTTTTTGTTCTCGCTAGGAACTTCACCATAACTCTTATTCATATTAGTTTTCTGAGCTGCATTGATAGCTGCATCATGGCCTATGAGATGGGCATACTTTTCCTTATAAAATGTACCACTGATTTCCTCTTTGCCCCTTTTACGCTTCTTGTTATTATCAGCTTCAGTTTCAAGTGCTGCTTGTTTCTGCATTTCCAGATGTCTTTGTGCCATTTCAACAGCTTTCTCCTCATCCCAAATACGCCCTTCTCTACGTACTGTAAGCTCATCTTGAGAAGGACCCTTTTCTTTAGTATACACTACAGCATATCGATCGATACCTTCTTGACCAAATGAGAAGACTTGGAGTCCTGCAGTTTCAGCTATCTCTCTTATAATAGCACGGTACATTTCATCCATTGGATCAAATTGTAAGTGTGGTTTTGTAGCATCTTTAATAAAATTTGCAATTTTTTCTTCAACGCGCTTTCTGAACTTATTTAACATAAGCTTCTCTTCTTTTTTTCTATGCTCCATTGCTTCTTTCTGTTTTCTCATGGCATTTTTCTGAGCTTCACTTGCTGCTGGTGGTTTTTGCATGGAACTAAGGATGGAATCTAAGAGATCCATTTCTTTAGATGGACAATAAAGTAGAGTTATCAGAGCAAAATGATGTATATGAAATTATTTCTGGAATACGTAGCTGCCAATGGCTTTGTATTTTAAAGTTATCAACAAGGGATTCTGTTTTCAACCCTTTGTATGTTAATACATTTAATGATGTATCAATTTGAGCACAAACTTCACTTCCAAAAGAAAGGCTATCTTCTGCAAATTCTAAGAGCTTTTTCAGTGGAGGCTGCAGGGGTGTGCCCTTGACTATAGGTGTGGTTTCTTCTAAATCCAAATTTCTGCAAGATTCTAACAATGTTTGGTGTTTGTGAGAGAGTTTTTCAAACAAATCTTCCACTTTAGATCTAAAATAAAATAGAAAAATGATTTATTAATATGATATATAGTTATTCTTTTCAATAGTTCAATTATCCTTCATCTGCAGGTTTCTTTATCTTTTTTTAAAATATAGTATTCAAATAATATTCTTACAGCTCACTCCGTATTTCTAGAATCTCTTGTGATATCTTATTGTGTAATAGGCCAGATAATTTATATTGCAAATTTTCAAAGTTTTCCAATGGAGTGCCAATAATCTCAGCTCTGAAACAAATCAAAATATTTAAAATAAAAATACCATGCAATGTTAAAATAACTCTACTTATAGGTGTGAAAATTAAGGCATAATATATTTCAATAATGAATAAAAATTGTTGGATATATAATTATTATTCTTAAGTAAGTAATTTTTTATTTATTTTTATTGTTATTCCATTGTCATTGGATGAGGTTAGAAAACTGATGTTTTTTTTTAATTATCTCACATAATGGTTACTTGAACACGTGAACTAAAAACTATGTAAAATAAACCAATTCTACTTACTCTTGTATGTTATTACACCGTTTTATCAGTTTATTTATAGATATTGCGCAGTCCTGGCAATTCTTCAAACACGCTTTTGATGTGTTATGGAATTCTTCAAAAAAAGAAAAATAATCTACAATTTCCTTTTGTACTTTATTCTCCATTATAGAAAATCACGTCCATTTTCGTTGTGAATGATGAAGTAGATTCAGTTTACGTAATTTTATAGTTTGATATTAAACAATAACAATAGGTACACATTCTTCAAAACAACATGAGACGGGTATTTGTAGTGATGTACGATGTCCATAAATATGATAGATTATACTATCGTCACCTAACGTGATTTTATCGATTGTGCTCTTTATTGAGACTAATAATAAGGTAAAGCTATCGAAAGTTCTAGGAACAATTCTATGATATTAATTGCAATATTTATGAAAACAAATTGAAGGCGTCATAACTATTAAAATTGCATTTATGTATGTAACCATCATCGTCATCGATTAATGGTGTTACATATTTTAACACTAATTCTGGATACATACTTATCCCAAATGCGATAGTTTCGATGATCTCAGCGACAGAGAAACGGTTTTCCAATGTAAAATATCTATTGTGAAATTATCATTTTTTAACATCACTGAGCATTTGTTTAAAATTGTCTTGAAGTGTCAAAAACGCATAGTCGACAAGTCGTTGCGTCGATTGAGTTCGCCAAAACGAGTTGATTTGAATCGCAATATTTATTCTCCTATATATATACCTATACTATGAAACAGAGCGTCCGGCGTCTCTTTTTTAAATTAATAATTATGTTTTTTTATTTTTGAATGGACCATGAACCGTTTCGATGATTTTACCGGTTTATGAAATTACCGATTTGTAATGTATATTTTTTATTATGTATGTGTATATTGATGAACAAATCATTACGTCACAATATAATTTGCTTTACTAGAATTTATTAATATTTAAGACCTCATATTTTCTATATTATTATTATTCTCGGCATATTTCTTTTATAACTTGACTTCGTTTGTTTGAGAGGGCTGTATAAAACGATACTCTATGGGACTGGTCGATTATCAACGGATAACTGTCAAAACACAAACCAATGGTTGCTTGGTCGGTCAGTATCGTAAAGCGCCCCCACTTGAAAATATGTGAATCATTAGTCGACAACAACAGCGAATGGAAGATGTACGTGCTGTTTCGTCGCGATTTATTCCGATACAGAAACCTATTTGGTTGATATAATACAAGTGTTCAAATAAATATATTTATGTGAATAATATAATGAAAAGAAAGTGTAAATTGTGTTGTTTACTCTGATGTTAAAGCAAAATTGGTGTTTCTTTTTTTAAAATGAATGGTAAAATGTATAGTGAAACCGGTGCTTTCTCATCTGACGACATGCGCGCCGAAATATTAAATCCCTTCGTTCATAAATTGGAACTAGACAACGCATACGATAAAATAAAGGTACATGTTCTAAGAAACAGTGCATGCATTATAAGACATGTTTATGGTTTTCTAATTTTACCACGGTCTCCGAAACCTTTTTGCGCAGACTCGAGATTAGCAATGGAACTAAATAGAAAAAAGGAGAACAATATGACGTGAACAACAAAAATTATAATTCTTTTAATAAATGAGTTTTAACTTAAATTAATTGTAAAAGGAGTAATATTATTTAACCACAAGTTTTTAGATTCCTCAATATCAATATAATATACTAACATATTTCATACGATGACTTGGTAACTTCATTGATCCATTGAATTCTTTATCGAATATCAGGTACATTTCATTTCATTCTGATTATTTAATGATCCACAATTTAAGGTAATTATTATCATTATAAATGATAATTAATTATCATTTCGAACAAAAAAAAATATATTTGAACTCTACAGGAAAATAAACAGCACACTTGTTACACTTGCTTAGTGTAAGATATTAATTTTAAGATAATATGGGTAATTAATTGAAATTTGTATCATCATCATTATAATCATCAGCCCTTTTACGTCCCCACTGCAGGGGCTCGGGCCTTCCTTATGGATGGTCAAGGAGGATGGGCCATGACCCTCCACGCTGACCCAATGTGGATTGGAGGGTATTAACGACTGCAAATGCAACCGGGACCAACGGCTTAACGTGCCTTCCGAAGCACGGAGTAGCTCAAGATAATAATTTTTTGGTCACCCATCCCGTGACTGACCCTTGCGAAAGTTTCTTAACCACTACGATTGCGGGCCGCGGCGCTATACAAAATTTATAACCCACTAATTTTGTATAGATTTAGAAAAAAACTCAAATAAATACATATCTAATTAATAACTCCATAGACTACTATTAAATATACTATTGAATAGTATGACACGCGTGAAAGTTAATAAGTTATGAAGAAAACTAATTGTTATGAATGCTTCTTCTTCTATTTCTACGTGTCAAATATTTTTATTTTAGTAAAAGTTAATATGGCAGAACAAACTAGAAGTCAAGGTAGTCATGTTGAGACGAACGCACATGAAAGTTGCTAACATCAATTTCGTTTCTGAGGGAAAGTCAAGAATATCAAATCGCTATGGCAAGCATCACGTTTACGGCAGTGCTTTGATGGTTATGTTGAATTAATTTGTGCTGTGAAAATAGAAAATTAAATCAACATTCTGTGTTGTACGTGATTCTATAAACTAATATCAGCTATAGACTAATATAAACAATTCTATTTCAGATTCTATAAACTAATATAAACAATAATAAGATTGTTTAACGTGTTACTGCCAACTTATATAAGTAGGTACTATTTGAAGTCTTGTAAATGACAAAGCTTGCCGAAATTATCTTAAAAATATAAATTGTTACAAACATTTTATAACGCCATAGACATTTTTGAAATTCTAACCGAATCTTATTTACTTACATATTAGTTCTATAAGATTGGATTAGTCTATCTTTTAGTTCCTACATTATATCTGATAGCTACTTAAACATTGATTTCTTATATTTTCATGCGCACAAACCATAAATGAAACAACTTTAAACAATAAAAAAAAACCTTTAACATTTAGGTAGCTGAACAACTTTTAAACGGTATCATCGCATTTGTATTTAGTTTTATTAACGCTTCGGACCCTTTACAGTTACGTGTAAAAGTTAAAAAGTTGTTCACTTCAGCTGTAATAAATATACGAAAAGTAGCAGTAATTGTAACAATAATGGCATATTTCATAAGTATTTTTAGAAAAAGAGAAGTATTTTTAGAAAAAGAAATTGTAATGGCTTCAGGGGCGTAGCTACCACTGTATAAGCCGTATCAATGATACGGGCCCTCTAGGCTACCGCAGTCCCTAATGTGTATAAGCAAAAAATTTCTCGCTCCAATTGGGCCTCCCAACTAATTTTGATACAAAGCCTTTCCAAGGAACACTATGCCATTGCATGGCATCATATAGTTTACTTGTAAACGAGTCTAATTTAGATATTATCCATTCAAAACACGGCCAGAATAATAATTATTTTAATGAACTGAACATTCGGTTTTCTTAGTATTTGTAAACTGCTCAATTTCTCGAGAAAAGACAATGCTAATACGTTCATTATACCTACCATGCTGTATGTTTCGGCAACATTTTGTGTTTTTTGTATGTAGTGAAGAAAGATTTGTTACAAGTGCATATTCATTATTATAATCTCTTATGATGAAATCACTTGAGACTTTCAAGGGCGTCAACTTTTAAAAACAAAACAATTTTTTTGCTTAGCTCCTGAAGATGGCAATCTTATTTTATTCGCGAATTGATTTTTGCTTTAGAAACTTCTAAAATCGGATATAAAAGTAAAAGTACGAGTAATAAATGAATTCATTTCTATTAATAAGATTTAGGCATATCCACATATGCCTAAATCATTTGAAAATTGACGAGGTAGGTAGACCTACTTGAAATCAAATTTTTTTATAGTTTTATTTTTTAGACTACACCTATAGCTGGTCAAGGAGACGTCGTTCATAATTTTTTAAACTTGTTATTTAAGATTCCGGTAACGAAATTAGTGGTTAAAAATTAAATTTAAAATGATAGGTCAGATTTATCTAGCTTAATTGTGGAATTAACTTGAACAACTAAATCGCATAAATAAAGAACATCAGCTAGTAATTGTTATAGAATACGGAATATGAAAGAGGAGTTTCGCAAAGTGAAAGTATTTCATTCATAGAATGTTGGTAGGCTTAACAAGTACAACCGACAAACTGTTTTCTGACTCGCAATAGTTGGATAACGCGAAACGTTGTCTCCCTTTCCATATGATGATGGATGTTATGCAATGAAAATAAATTGAGACCAGAAGTTCCGAAATGTTTCGAAGGTTTTTATAGTTCACATAATTTGAGTTATGTTAATAAAAATAATAGTTGGAAATACAAATTTAAAATAAACTGCCACTTACTATTCAACGCCACTTTATAGATGCTATCAGCTTCTCCGTCTAGTTCATTTTGAAGGCATAGTGTTAATTTTGAAATCGAATACCCTTCTTTCCTGTTGAATTGTAATATAATGGGACAATTATTAAAATTTACTTAGTAATAAAATTCCTCATAGAAACTCCTCCTGTTGTTACCTTTGCCGATTCATTTAATATTATCAATTTATGAGGATATTACAAGAATAAAATCTTGGAGATTACTTTGATGTTGTAACAGTTATTACAACTTTGGCAATAGATTTACATATTCAATGTTCTTTTTGGCTCTAATGGGACTAATTTTGGCTAGTAGTAGTAGTAGTGTATTATACATAAGAACCTTACTTTTGAATCACCCTATCTATGAAAAAAAAAGCGACTTTGTTTATACTATGTAGTGATAAACAGCACAGCTCCATGGAATAACCGAGAGAAAAAAAAAACACTAATCCTTCAATGGAACTGAATAATGGAACTATTGGGATTATGCGTTCATACTGGGCTACCGATATTGCATGTATTCAATTTTATTTTAGTTTGGAAAAAGTTTTGAAATATCATCTGCAATCAATCTTTAAGATTTTTTTTTTGTTTCAGACGGCGATATTCACAGTGATACTACTGCCTTTCCGCGTGATAGTTATATGTTACCTAATAGTAACTGCTTGGTTTCTTGCTTGCATCGGCCTCTATGGTTTGAATGAAGAAGATTTAAGAAAAAAGCCTATGACAGGATGGCGAAGGTTTGTTTAATTTTAAATTACTTAGTACTCAGATGAAAAATAAATCTATAACATGTTACAATACTATTGTTTGTACTCATATCAGTTTTAACTGCACACATACATCCATAAGATTGTTGAACGTAGTCACTTTAGACATATTTTCGAATGTTCTTTTTGAATATGGGCTAAAGTAGAAGTTAAACAATATTTTATCTTTGATGAACTTGTAGCACCAATTATATTATATGAGTCACACTAAGATTTCATGAAAGGTTGTTAGGAAACAATCAGAGGTGCATTTCATACAATAGTAACCAGCCATGAAGGTTTTCTGTTTTTGTTGCAAATAAATTTTTAACGATTTCCATTTTTTTGTTTAGCGTCAATGTCAAAACTTCTTTTGTTTAAATATAAAACTTATTCAAAGGTAAGTTCGCAGTACTTTTCAGTAATAAATACTTCGTAAGTTATTACTTTTTGAAATATCTAGTGCAGCTAAAGCTCGATCTACTTTAAATTACAATAAAGTTTTGACATATCGATGTAATGCGGAATTTTTATTAAAATTATTATATATACATTAATAATAATATGGCCTAAGGCCTTTGAATGTTTTTGAATCTACATAAAATATTCATTAAAGTCGATTAATATATAGTGTATAAACTATAGTTTACATCATAGGGACGATTTCACAGGGCAAAAAATGAGGATTCTATTAGATATTGATCATTTTACAAGTTAAAAATCAGATAAAACTCATATTGATAATTTCACTTTTCTCACTTGCTTTAATATTTTCATAATTAGTTGAATTAAGATATCGTCATAATATTTGATTGGACACTGACAAAAAATAGCGCCAAAAAGCACAAATATGTAATTTATTAATATCACCTTGTTATTACCCCGAAAAGTCGCATTAGAAGTATTTTTTTAGATAATTCGGTATTTTGTAGGCTGCTTTCGTGATTCTATTGCAGAGATAGTTATACTATGGCAATCAAAAATTATAATAAATTGCTAACTTTAAATAATAAACTTTAAAACTGAACAGTAATTATTATGTAGTTGGAAAGAATTGATAGTTCGTTATGCATACAGTCAAAAAATGCGTGTGACATAAATTATAATTTATGCGAATGAAAAGAGGGAAATCAGCTAGTTATTTTTATGTGTATTATATTGTAAACATAAGTATATGACTGACTGATAGTAGTCATATATGTATGTATGACTGATGAAAATATCTAAAACTGATTTGAAATTAATACGTTGGTGCAAAATATTTTTTATCTATTGCGGCATACACCAAGCGTGTATATCAATTAAAAACCATTAGAAGTGTTTGTGAAGCATTAAATAACTGATAAATTAAATTTTAATTATCTTTATATTCAAATATTTTTGATTCCGATCGTGTATAGATAAAAATTTCATGAAAGTGTACATTAACTTAACTTACACTTGTTTTAATTACTAAATTAAATATCCCTTTTTTTTTCACTGTTATGTCATACATTGGAAAGGAAACATTATGTTCATTATAATTATACAATATAATAAAAACCGGTTTCTGTATCGTATGAATGTCGAGCATACTTGAGCTTTCACAATTTTTATTATACAAATCTTAGCTATTTTCTATAGACGAACTCAATAAAATATAATCGAAAGTAAAACTAGCTACTTTATAATTAATTTAATTATTTTTATATAGTTGTAAAATTGGAGAACTATTCATTAGATATTGGTATGTGTAAATTTTATAACCTTCATTAAAGATAAAACCAATAAATAAATTCAGTCAAATATTCATTTTTTTATTAAAAATTGATAAAACTTTATTCCATTAGCCAGTGTTTAACGATAATATATAAAATAATGTGCACTGTCACTATATATTAATTTAATAAAACTGTCTCACGTGTTGGGTCTAAAATTATCAAGATAAAAATCAAAATAACTGTAAGCGTAACCTGCATTTTAAAAATTATCTATCTAGGTATTTTGTCAATTAGACATGTAATCATAAATAACTAACTCTCTAAACGGCATACAAAAAATGTCTATATATAATAAAATATTGCTGAGTAGCATTTTATGTGACATCTAAGTAGTTACTTTAGTATTTGCAAGATTCTCAATCCACCGAACTTACCTCAATCTGAATTACATTTGAATGTGTGTCAAACGTTCCTCACCGAAGATGTGGAACGATAGCTGCGCGATTTATTCAAAGTGGCCTTGATGACATGACAATGACTAACGAGGTCAACTTAATTGAATTTTACGGAGTTTTCGATAATAAGTTTTATATTTTGACATATTCGTAAATTCTTTACTCATAAAATAAATATTTATATTTAATCAATAAGTCCTCATTATAATATTGACGCTATACTTTACAATAATAAATAATCTCGAAGATTTTATTAGAAAACGGTTTTTGTTAAAAATAACCGGTTAGTCCCAACCTTAATAATACAGTGGTTAATCGACTAATAATTTCAAATTAATTACAATACTTTTGTAAACAATTTATGGAGCTAAGTCTTTAAATATTGGAATTTTTTATCTATTTTTTTTGGTTTCGTATTTTAAAAATCGGAAGGTTAGGCAAGCAAGCGTTACGCACAAATACCTATTACAAATACATATTAAAAACAACGAATTGTAATAAGAGGTTTTCCGTGGTAGGTTTAGGATAAGTAAAGAACTATTTTCTGCATTAATTTTTCAAACTTTTAGACCCAGTTGTTTTAAAGATCAAGAGGGGATGGCTGGATATCGCTTATTGTTCAATAACTTTAAAATTTATCATTCATTAGATTAACTAGCAATCTTTTCTGTCTTTATTCAATAAAGACTTCATCATAATCTACCGAACATGTAGATCAACAAAACGTCAGTTCAGTTAGTTTTACAAATCAAAACACAATTATTAGCCAAGCCATATACAGTAACCAACTCCAATTAATTTGCCGACTTCTAAGTTCAAAATTGAACGTGTGTAACCTACGTCCTTATATTATGTACGTTACCAACGAATACTTAGGGTTCTTTTTACGAAAAGATGCTCAAAATTTTGGACACATAGCAACGAGAACTAAAGAAAACAGGTACTAACATTGATTTGTTTATTCTATTGGTACAATATTTTGATAACGGTTTTTTTTTATATTTCGTAACTAAAGGTGCTTCAATCATGTATAATTTAAAGTAGGTAGGTAACTTTAATTAACACCACATTTCTCGAAAGTTTCTAATGAATTATTGTTATCTGTTTAAGTATATAATCGATTATGAATATTGATATGTATTTGGAATTAATGAGTAAGTATTGGAAAAGTAAGTACACACCTGAAAAAATGAGGTTTTCAATACAAAAATAGATGTCGCTGCGTAATATGAAATAGTACATCTAATCTAGTGTCGATCAATTGGTCTATGAAATGCGTTTGTGAATTAATAAGGTGCTGTCTATCAAGATTAATTTTTTTTTGAAACACGAATATCAGTTATTCGTGATTCAAAATTTAAATAGAAGTTAGTTATATCTATGCCCAGGAAAGGAAGGCACACAAAATGATTTTTTTACGAGTATTATTACTTTTATAACATTTATTCAGACATTAGACTATTCATGACGACATTGAAAAATTTTCCTGAAATGTCAAAGGTTGAGGGTAGATATGAGGGCCACTTGGGCCTGCACCGGCATCGTCCATATTTAACAAAACTTAACAACAAAAATAAAAATAAAACAATAACAACTTAATCACGGAAAACGGCAAAACAACAAGAAAGGCAGTAGCATTCACAATCGATGACAATCCCAGATTACGTATTTTCACAATTATGAATACATTACAGTCTGACAAAATTAAAAAGTTGTACTGTTAAAACGATTGAAGGGATTAGGCAACGTTTTAAATTTGGTAGAGTTATAGTGACATGAAAATCGTGCCTAAACTATTCAACCCTGTTTCTTTAGGTTCTTTAAGATGAACACTTTTTATTGTAATAGTTATTAAATCATTTAAGTAAGTCAAATACTCATTAATTTGTTTAATATATAGCTTAAACGACAACGGTTAAGTATAGCAGCTGGTGCTTAAGTGGATATGTAGCAAATTAGCCGTCAGACTTAAGAATAACATGATTATTTATATTTTGTCACAAAGTATACCATAAAAAGAACCTTATTTAACTTCTGTCTAATGCTATAATGAATGGAGTATAAATTCTTCCTTAACTTGTTTGCATAACTTCCTTTTACTTCAAACAATGCTAGAAAACCAATTAGCCGAATTATCAGGGCTATTTTCGAATTCTAAGCTACACATTTATTGAAGTGTTTAATTTTTATATAGATATACATAAGCAAGTTGTATGCTAATCACGTTTATATAAGCAAAGAATTTCTCGAGGCGTTGTTGACTTACATTTCCACGTTTTGGATACGTCAAAGTGAAAAGACCCTACACTTAAATAAGATGTTCCGACGATAATTGAGATAAGATATTTATGGCTTGGGATATGGTTATATGAAAGCGTCATATTATATGCCCGCTAATATTTAAATCAACGTTTTGATTGTGTAAACTTTCGCTCATAATTTTTATTAATATAGAATGTTACTTTATTGATATAAGATTAGTAAACAAAAATTCCGTAAAACGACCTTCTCACTCTAAATCTCAAATCTATTGAATATGCCAAAAGCTTAGTATCCGTATGAGTTAATCAGTAAATAATTGATAAATATAATTAACATATCGCTTTGGATGCTACATCGAAATCAATGTATTATTTACTCAATTAATTAATATATTTACATTGGGAAAATAATTAAAATTAACTCCGATTGAGTCGAACCAGTGATTTGGTAAGTACACTGGCGAATGTCTATACTTACTTTTATTTAGCTAGCAGTTTATGTATGTATGTTCGCCGGATTTCGCAACTGATATTTAAATCAGTTATGCTTAATGTTTAAAAAGGAAATTTGTGAAAGGTTTAGTTTGATGACAATGCAAGTTTTAATAACTTACATAATTTTAAATCTAATAACTAGGCCAACGTTTTGATGCGTCGTTATTTAGCCAATATGGCTGATGATTTTCTTCAAATTTTTTTATTAAAAATAAAGAGTAGATTCACTATAAATAGACTAGAATATAAATAGTCCTTGATTATAGATTACAACGACTGAACACTAAGGTCCTGTAATAAAAAAATAATAAATATGTTAAATATATATATTTGTAAAATTACATTCGTATTTTGTTTGTTTATGTGATTTCAATTATTTTAGGTAAAAAGCGTAAAATACATTTTTCACAACCCCATACTTTTAATAATTTATTTCTGTGAGATAAAACCATGTTTTCTACAAGCATTCATAGTAAAGCATAGATTTTGAAAATATTGTTGTTTTGTAGTGCAATTCTATTATAAAAATAGTTTCGAACTCGTTGACGAACGTACCGCACGTTCCGCTTAAAAGCATAGAATTTCAATCACATAAAACCAATTTACAAATGGAATAAAAGTTTTATTTCATTGGAGTTTTGTGACGACATAGCGCTGCGTTCGACGATGAGTTCGACGCTGTTTTTTTAACAGAGGCGCATAGCTGGCTGTGTCTCCAATTTGAGTTCTAAATGGCTTGTCTAAGAATGTCTATGAAGTCGTTGTTCAGTACTATATTTTTGTGGTCCACAGCAAGCTTCGATTCTCGATCCTGTCGCTAATGAAGCTGGTGGTGGTAGCTGCGGGGTTCCACAGGGTAAGGGTGAAGGGTCGCGTCCACGTGCCGTCGGACTCACGCGAGGCACCGGTCATCGTGATCGCGCCACATTCCACTTTCTTCGATGCCATAGCGATTGTGGTGCTCGGAGCGCCGAGTGTGGTCGCTAAAGCTGATACTGCAAGGCTGCCTTTTATAGGACGTAGGTGTTTGTAGGAGGGCAAGGTTACTTCGATTTCACGTTTACAATATTGCTAAGTTTGGTTTCCTTTATTTTTAACTGGTAATAATAATAGATATTTAGGTACAGTCGACAGCTAGTCAGGGTCTCCAAATTTGTCCCCTTGTTTTAAACCTTAATGTTTTTTGGATAGATTTTAAAATCGACTGACCTGACGTACAACAATATGCACACGATTCTTTCACGTCTAAAATTATATATTGTTTATTACGAAGAAATAAATATCACTGTAATGGTAAATGAATATTGAAAACCAACAGTTTATTTAAAGGGATTTTATTTGTTACATTGACAAAAGATGGCTATATTTTTCAATGTAACAATATACGAAATTTTTTTTTATTCAAGTTACAATTTTTTTATAACTAAACCGTAGACAAGAAATGGAAGTAATATAAGCCCTATTTCATATTTTAAGAAAGTAGAATTCACTTGTGTGCTAATATTTGTATTTTGTTAGTTATTGCTGCAACCCTTTTCCAATTGGAAATCTTTAGCTTGCTAGTTGTTTGTTGTTTCGCCGTCTCTATTGTTTTGTTTGCATATCGGCCATTGTTTACAGCTTGTTTGGACTCATCCAGCGTAGTAGGCAAGGCTGAAGTTTATTCAAACACTGCACGTTTTTGGTTGCTCAATGTTTTGTCTTTTATTGCACGTATTTTGATTTGGCTTTTCCTTTTTTATTTGAACGCTAAGTTTGCAAATGTTGATGTGTGGACTTTTTGTTGAATTTCTTTAACATTTACGAACATTTTTTTAATGACTTTTCAATGTAATACGATTTGCAGCGGTGTGGATTGAGGTAGGTTTATTAAGTGGAAATTATATTTAATATAACGTTAGTTACCTTTTCTGCTGATGTGAATTAATTACATAAACACGTACATACTATTACCTACTGTCATTACACAATTTTAGAAAGAAACGAATAAAAAAGTCGTTAGATTTAATTATTTAGGGGAGACCTAGGAGAGTTGTGACAATTTTTACATAAGGGGCTCTATCTCGCTTAAGAAACATTCCACAGTTATGACTCATGTGAATTAGTTTAACGCCATTCCTTCTGTTTTCAAAACCATCACTAAAATTAATTAAAGTATAATAGTTTCTGAAAAAAATAACAAAATTCAAGTCCACTCCCCTTGTCACAACTCTCCTACCACCGAGGTAAGTTGTGACATCATTGTATTTAAGCTATAAGATATAAAAATACCATTACATACGACATAAATAAATTAAGCACGTTTTTTTTATCAAATCAGTACTTTAATCAGTACTATAATAATAAATTTGACTTGGAAAACACACACTGAACATGTTTGCAAAAAGTTGTCCCAGTATTCATGTGCACTGTACAAACTTAGTAGGATTGCGAATCAGTGCACGGTCCTTACAGCTTATCACGCGTACGTAGTTTCTACTGTTCGATACGGTTATATGTTATGATTATATTTTGGGGATATTCGACTGATTCTGTAACTGCCTTTAAAGGCCAGAAAAAATGTGTTAGGAGCATATTTTATTAAACTAAATATTATGACCCTGCCATCAATCTATATATTCGAAGTTGGTATTTTTGTCAAACAGGATCAACAACTATTTGAAAATAAGACGAGATTGCGTCATCGAGACAAATTGTGTACGATACCCTCTAAGACAGCTTAGTTGAACAAAAGTATCTTTTGTATGGCTCCAAAAATTTTTGATAAAATTCCAAAAACAATACGTAATCTGGATAATTGTAATGTTTTTAAAAGAAAACTTTATAAATTATTAGTAGCTAAAACATATTATAGTGTAAACGAGTATCTAGCTGACAGTACTTTGTAAATGTATAAATACTTAATGAATTAGTTGAATTTTTGACATAACATGTTATTGATTAGATTAGTTGACAATTACTAACCTACAAATATTGTATGCTTTTTAGGCAGATCACGGTGTAACTATTCAGTCCTTGCATCCAATATCTTTATATAACCTGCGATCAACAATAAAGATTGATTTGATTTGATTAATCATCTTTTAATACCTACCAACTAAAACAACATAGTATTAATATTAATACTACAATAATATGATTGATCTCAAAGCGATACAATATTTAGTTAATGAAAATATTATAATTACTTGTTATGAGAATATTCTCATGAGTATAAAATCTTAATCTAATCAGATTCACATTTATGCCAAACGTAATGAAGTTCGTCCCCAGTACAATCTAACTGTGCCTAGCCTTTGCATTACAGGCTTTGGACCCACTGATCATTCGACCTGCTGTCTGCATAGGCTTCAAGGCAAACCAAATAAAAGCAATTATTTTCTACATCTTCTTCATCACTTGTTCTATTCTTCTTATTAGTCTTCTTTGCTTTTTAGGTTTCTTTTTTTTTTCTTCGCTTAAGACACGCTTCTTAACATTCTTAGATTTTCAGCCTCTCGTGTATAGTTATTTGGTATTCTCAAAAAAATAAGTATGCGGTATGCCATTATACACCTTAAGTAGCTACTAACACACCAACAAACATCTAAAGTTAATAAAAAAAAATGTAAAAATAGCCCAGCAGAAATTTGGAGTAAGTTAGGAGAGTTGTGACAGGCTGTCACAACTCTCCTAGGTGTTCAAAATGACGTCTTGGTCCGAATAATAATTCATATTTTCTAAACACGATGCGCATACAAAAAATCAGTGCCACGTATTGAGACTTAAATTACTACATAACTTAAGAAAAAATAACACATCAATGCACATATACTAAAGTATGATATATATTCAAATAATATTTTGAAGAAAAACTTACTTTTCGTAATTTTTTGTACACTGACGATATATTTACGCAACTGTGCCACATGCACCGTCGACAGGTACTGAGTCGTGTAGAGCGTGTCGAGAACGACAAACAAGCGTTAATGCCATCTCGCTTACTATAATACGTAGAAAGAAATCCTCCTTGTCACAACTCACCTCTGTCACAACTCACCTAGGTCTCCCCTACTTACATTAAAGGTAATGGTACATTAAAGGTCCTATAACATCCTGATAAACTGGTAACAGTACTTCAGATTATCTTCTATTGTTTAAATTTTTCATACCGTTGGTTTATTACATTCATCATAGTAAATAATTAAAATAACAGAAAAACCCGCCTCTCTGAAAAACAATTAACTAAAAAGGCCGAAACACAAAGCGCAAAGAAAGAATATGTCTCCGACTGCATGTTATGTATGACGTTGCATAATATCTTTTATTTTATTCCGGCCTTTTAAAAATACCTTTTAAAGGAAAGTTTTACCTTTAAAAAAATACGGTTTTGTTAAAAATACAGCACTGTCACAATATTAGATTTTCAATAAAATAAAACTTTGAAAACGTAACTTAAACCCAAAAAGGTTTTATTTCATTAAACCTGGTTAAAAATCTAGGTGACAAGTTGTGTTCGGCGCAGTTTTTAAGAGGCTCCTAAACGGGCAATATTTTTAGCAATTAGTAACTGCAACACAGTTGCCGGCAACATTGCTCATTGCAAGAAATGCCAGCCAGTAGTGCGAACGCCTAACTTTCTAGCCTCGATTCTATTCATAGGATACATCTAAGCGATGTTATGCCGATATTTCGTTTCATGTTACTACTTTGACATGTCTTTTGGTGGATAAATTTTGGATAAATGACTAAGTTAGTAACTGTAATCAAATCCATAATCATCATTCTTTAGCGTTCGTTCGTCATTACCAATGATGATCGTCCTCATAAGGAAGGCCTGAGCCCCGAAGGCCTGAGTGGGGACGTAAAAGGGCTGATAATGATGAAAGAAGAAGGCAAAGTAGTAAAATAAACGAAATATCGGCATAAAATAATGATCCATTATACGGGGCTTTAGCTACTCGTCTCACAATTTAAGCAACGTAATGTTGTCTAATATTAATTTCAATTAAAATTAATAATTCTTGGTATAGCCTATATTATTTAAAACTTTTCTGGGATGGCCGGGCAATAAGTTGCTGATAGTGCAGCTACTTATTGCCGAAAAATACTGGCCATTTACAAGAAGCCTTTTAAAAATGTTGAAGATTGATTATGTGAGCATGGCAATTTCACGAACATAATATATTTCTTTGAATACGATTACTTTCTTAATAAGTAGAAACCGCACGAAGAATGTTGAAAACACTTTCCGAACGATTCCAAAATAAATATTTACAGTCCAAACACATGTGCGTGATTCGTCAAAACTGTTTGTTTGTTAAGAGTCTTGAGAATATGGAATACGATGTTTCTAGGTTGAACTGTATCGTTAATATGGGTTAAGTTAACACAGTCTATTTAATTCCGGATGCGTTCAGAGATTATATTGACGTATAACATAAATATAAGTATAAATATAATATAAATAAAGTGAATATTAGTTACAATTTATTTTTAATTTATTTTAATTTATTTTATACGATTATTTTTAATTTTGAATAAATAAATAATAGACACACACATACATGTCCAGATTTATGAGACACGTAGATAAAGTAATCATATGATGAAGTATATAATACAACGAAGGTACCATACATCTCCATACAACTCCAAACTGAGAATACATAGAAAAGTGAATCATTTAATCCAACCGTGAATCGTACCCGGGACCTCCACGATGAAGATGGAGCCATTGAAACAGGCGGGCAAGCTAATCGGCACCGAAGTCGATGAATTAAAAAAAAATCTTCAGTTTTCGACAACCCTTTTTCATAGAGCTTAAATTTTCAAAGCGCTGTGAACTTTGTGAAATCAAATGATGGTAGATAAGATGGTAAAAGGTACTAAAATTAAAAATTATATATTAATGTGGCCATCAATGAGCTTTAGAGAAATTGTTCTAGATTTTATTATTGGAGTGGGTATGTATTTGTGTATGAATTAAGTAACGTCATAGTTTTTAATAATAATACGTTTGTAATAATAATACCTTTAATTATACAGAATTTA